AGTATGATGGGATATATTATGTGGGAAGGTGAGAGGTCTATGGGGTGTAACAATTGGACAGCATTACCAGTTGAATAAGGAGTATGATGGGATATATGTGGGAAGGTGAGAGGTCGATGGGGTGTAACAATTGGACAGCATTACCAGTTGAATAAGGAGTATGATGGGATATATGTGGGAAGGTGAGAGGTCTATGGGATGCAACAATTGGACAGCATTACCAGTTAAATAAGGAGTATGATGGGATATATGTGGGAAGGTGAGAGGTCTATGGGGGCAGGATGGTTTACGTTCGCTGTGTTGATTTTTGTTAACGTTTTACCCCTAACGTGAGGTACTTTTTGCTGTTGATTGATTGGAATTGGCAAGATCGCATGACGGCCGGAATCGACCTATTATACATTGCATTGTCCTACAATTCAATCGCCCCAGTAATGATGCATTGTCACAAGCCACCTGTTGTCTACAATATCAATTTTGCCTCCCATAGATTCTGGCTCCACTGACAATGTTATATTAAAGTGGAAGTTCGGCGAGAAGAAGTCAGTTACCATAGAAAAAGACATTAGTCTGCCACAGATGGATCTGCTGAGCGCCAAAGGCAAAGAATACGTTGACTCGTACACAACAGGTGCGTCAGTAATAAGTTAAGCAACTACAACAAAATTGATTTTTGCTTGCACAGTAGGAAGCCTCGCGATCTCGAGTACAATTCTAAATTTATAGGTACAAGTGATGTTTTGAAAGTTTTCAAAATTAGGCGATCATCTTAGGCGAGTCCAATTTGAGAACTTTCAAAATATCACGAGTATCTATATATTCCAAATTGTATGAGAAGATCGTGCTATATTTTGTTTATAATAAACTCAACAAAATTATTAATTTGGACTCTACAGAGTACGATTTGGGATTTAATTGTACTCCTCTTGTCCAATCAGAATCGAGTAATTTTGTTCAGTGTATTATAAAGTGTAAAACTGAAACTCACTTTTATATCAATTCTTTCTTTATACTCCGTCACACGATCAGAAATCTAAACGCCCACTGATTTACCTTTTAATTAATTCCACGACTACCTAGTAAACGATCAAGGTTTACGATGGCCAATACGAACGGGCGAGGTCCACTTTCAAGACATCAATGCAAAGGGCATAATTTTTCCCTATCCAGACCAACATTAGGATGACGGTAAATAACTTTAGCAATCCGTTACGATGTGCGCGTGCAGATGATGTCAGAACACCGGACTGTGGGCAAATGCTAAAAAAAAACAGGTTGAATCTAAACCTATATTGATAGTTTTCAACCATTGTAAGAGAAGTAAATAACAAAAGACACGGCGGCCATGTTGGAGGATATAACAAAATAATTCATTGACAATTCTTTTGTTAAGTTCCTCCAACATGGCCGCCGTGAAAGCCATCAATACTCAGTAGAGTAAAAATAACGTTAGAGACAGCATGCTGCGGCAGTCAGTATAAACATTGTTTGCTGTCTCTGTTCGAGGTTTTTTACTCTCACTTAGAAACCATCCAGAATTTCACTTCCGAAACCCGATAGGTAATCTAATTAATCTCAGACATAGCATTGTACAGTTCAGATCGATCTACCTGTACCTACTTCAGTGTGACACTATTAATGCTAACATTTTTAGGTAAATATTCAAGGTTGTCTCTGGTTTTCCGCTTCAAGCGCAGGATTACCTTATTTATCACTGAGACATATGTACCACTAGTATTAATAGTAGCCTTATCCTGGGTATCATTCTGGATTAACTACAAAGCAGCTCCGGCTAGGGTTGCTCTGTGTATTACGACGGTAAGACATCACCACATATTTTTTTTCATTTGGATATATATACTTATTATTATATATACTTTTTATTTTTAGAATGTGTGTGTTTAATATGGACCAACGGTTGAGATTTATATATATATATATACTTCGTAGTACAACTAGTACTGATATAGTAGCTTTATCCTGTTGCCTTTCCTTGGAAAAAGGGGGGATACATATATAYATAAATATATCGCTAAATTGTGACAGTTTTAGGGATTCGGTATATACAATAAAAAAAGGAAATAAATAAAAAAGGAAAAAATTAAAAATAAACAAAAAACCATTCAAGTTCTTGTCTTCGGCTCGCTGACATGTCTAACCGGTTACCTGATGTATGTCATCGATTTTGTCGATGTAAAAAGAATAATTGTAATTGAACTGACCACTTTATTTTATAGGCCAATACAATTTGTTCTATTTCAGGTTCTAACGATGATTACCTTGAGTGCCGCAGTAAGATCATCTCTTCCCAAGGTCACATACACTAAGTACAGTGATTACATCCTCATATCCGGTCTGCTGTATGTGTTCGGCGCTCTCGTTGAATACGCTGTGATCAATTTCTGTGATAGCCTTGAGCATCAACGAATTGCGCGACAAAAATTAATGAATGACGTAGAAATGGCAAAGTTTGAAGAGGTAAGATCGCACTTGGCGCGAAGAAATACGTTTAGAAAGTGAAGCTATATCACCTCGACGGCTTAACATTGCCCGGGGTAGACTCCATGAAAAAATATTATAGTGAAAAGGTTAACTGTGACCAGAGGGAGCCCAATTTAGATAAAATTTATATATATTTGTATACTACAATGAACGAGAACTATAGAAAGATTATATGGAAAACAAAATTGATGATCGATGTTTTCACTAGTTTGCAGTATATATGAAGAACATTATCTTTGACTTTGAATACAAAAACAAGTGAAGTTTATATAAGTGCTGTGTGATGGGTGTAGGGGCTATCGTTCCAAGAAAATGGACTTCAAGGACAAAGTCGAAGACAMATCCTGAGAAAAAGGATGAAAAGATAAATGCATATTGTATAAGCATGACAGCAATTTCTTCAAGATCCTCTCTGCATTCTGTCTTTTAAACATGCATTTAGTATTATATAAATCCCTTCCCAACAGCGACAGCCACGACAATAAGGCATGCCCTATTATATTCTAACTAAGCTCTTTTTATTTAGTTTAAGGAAAACGAAGACACCCTTGAAACAGTCGAAGGACGTGAACCTCCAGTGCGCATGTCACAAAAATTGATACGCTGGTTCGAGTTTGGTCGCGTTAAAGTGGACTCGATTGATGTTAAATGCCGTTACCTCTTTCCCGGATCCTTTCTATTACTGCATATCATATTTTGGATCTATTTTGTAGTGGAATCGGCTGACTAACCAATTGTCTAATCATTTTCTAGCCACTTCCTTGAATGACTCATGCATGTTTATATGCATAGTACCTGAAGACGTTTTCTTGTTGTAGTTAGGAACAGATTTTACTTCAAATTCTATGACTTTATATCAAATTTGAAAAAAATCTACTCTACTTCTAGTTCTACTGTTTGAAAAGAAAACAACAAGATTTTTTCATGATGTATCTTTCGAAAGGCACAATATAATATCTAAAAAAACATGACGTATTTATTTTCGGTAAAGGTAAAAAAGTTCGAAGATTGTCTTTCAAATTCTTGAAATTTAATAATTGCTCTTTTGGTTTTGGATTTCAGTTCAATGAAGACCTACAGCGTTCTTCAATGCTATCCTATATTTACAGAACTACTTTTGTTGCCTATTGTTCTTGTGACAAAGCGCCAAAATAAAGCCTACTGGGATAGAAAAAAAAAAAAAAAAAAAAAAAAAAAAAAAAAAAAAAAAAAAAAAAAAAAAAAAAAAAAAAGATTAAAAGACTCGAAAAACTCTTTAGCAGATACTAGACATATTAATATACAGACACATATCTGTTGCGTGGCTATCGAACAATAATCGCAGTTCAAAGTCTTTTACAGTGTTTCAGTTTTTCAGGGTTTCATGTTGTAAAAAGGCAATCTCTGAAGTGTTTCTGAGCTGTTTGAACAGGGCTTTTAAAAGGGTTTAGAAGCCTGCTGGTCACGTGGCAGCTATATTTGTACATTTCGTTTTAGTCAATTCTTAGGAGTGAGTTTATAAATATGAAATTTCAAGAAAAAATAAAGTTTAAATTTCATTTGATATTGTCTGGATATACAAGTTGTCTCTCCTTAACAGTTTCTAAAAACTCTTTTTAATATGCTGAAAGATGTTCAATATTTCAAAAAGATGGCATGGCGTAGCCAAACAAAGACGCGGTCTGTGAGCGCACCTGAGCCAATGTATTTGTCTTTCACAAGTTTCTATTAAATGATAAATATAGGATTGATTGTATGAGCCCTTTTGCTTCTGACCGACTAAAATCCCTAAAAGTCCTCAAATATATCTACTAGCTCCTGTAGCTATAATAACAAATAACCATTTAGCTTACCACTAATATATTTTTCATGACGCCTCCACCGAAAATAAAAAAGTCCAAATCTCATTCATTTTTTTAGTTTGTCTTTCGCTCAATTTGAAAACAAAGTTTGTCATTTTAGCTGTAAGATTTGATCTTTGTAATGCACAATTACCAGTTGAACGTGAGACAATGTTCTTCATCTTTCTTAGCACATTTCAAAGCATGAGGGTTGGTATTTAACCAGCAGTGTTTGACTAGAGACCAGGGGGACTCGTAAGAGCTTGGTGAAAACAAAAAGACCCAGTGATACTATAGGCTCTCAGCCGTTCAGTCTGTTATATCAATCAAGTCACCATGTATCAAACACCAAAAAAACCTCTTTGGGTTTCGGAATTGGATTATGCAATACTCACTCATGACGACTATGTCAGTGCCATGCATGCCTTACTGTATTGTGATTGGCTATCATCCTAAGAAACTTTCAAACTTCAGCTAAGGATTTTTTTAAAATAACGAACCCTACCCCTCCTCAATATGGTTGTCCCTGTATGGGTCCCCCCTCCCCCGAAGTCGCCAAGTTGACTACTAGGTGTGGTTAAAAGATATCAAAAAGACAATAACTTCCTCGGATCATCGCATTTCTTTAAGAAACCCAACGAGTGAAGATGCATTTCTTGTTTTGTCTTGCGTTTGTCGTGTTCTATCACGGACAGAGTGCGCTTACATTCGAAGAAGGTAGGTCGAGGTGAATGACTGATTTTGAATTTCCTGCATGCAGTGAATATTAGCTAATTGCAACTAAAACAGTCAGGGTAGTTCACATAGGAGCTTGTGGTGGTGCCAACTGCTCAATACTTGAGTCAAATATATGCGCACTGAGCCGGTTTTTTCAAGAGTCTCAGCTCGATGAACAAAACAATCAAAAAGTCAGGCAAAAGCAATCATAATCATTACACAAATGTAACATTTAAAGAAAGTACGGTTCATTCTTGACTAATACTTCGTTGCAAAACCCATCTGTGGTTCGAACACATTTTAATTGAGTTGACTGTTATAGTTTTAGCATGTGTGTTTTGAGAACTTTTCTCCGGGTTCTCATGTTCTTAGATCTTTCCTTCTAAAAATTAACTTCCTAAATTCAAATTTAATTATTGGACTTTCATCGAGCTTGGGGCCTGGCTGTCTCTAGCTGGGATGCGTTCAGCGGACTCGGAAAGGCTAGATTATCATAAATAATTTCAGGTTTTTTAAAAAAAAGTCACCTTTCAAGAACTTGATGACAGTGAATTAATGCACCATTTTGGCAAAGAATTATATTCATATGGGTGTTTTTCTTGTTCAACCACAGAGAATTGGCTACTTGATCTTCATGAAGGAGATATCCAACTGAACAATGTCCAGAAAGATTCTCTGAGATTCTTTGGCGACCCTACGACATCACTTGGGGCTCGTGGACTGACGTCAGACGCTACTAAACTATGGTCCAATCTCATCGTTCCTTACGATATTTCTTTAGAGTTAGGTAAGTGAGAATATAACTAGCAGATCTATTGAACTGTTTCAATATACTGATATTTTTCAACAAATAAATGACTTTTGTTTGTTCAGAAAACGTTCCAGAAGCCGTTGCCTCCATCAATGCTGCTATCAGAGAGTGGGAAGAGAACACGTGTCTTAAGTTCGTCCGTAGAACAACTGAGAGGGACTACATAAAAATGTTCAATGGCTCTGGGTAGGACAGACTGATATAGGCTGTGTGCAGCCAGACTGTTAACATTTATATCAGACGGCAAACTACATATAGTGGACAGATAATCAGAATGACTTGTATATTGCAATCATAAGCCATCCTCCCACCCAGGCTCTGTTTTTCCTTTACCTAGGAGGTGATACCCTTAAAGTATACGTTAAAACTTCATGATCCTGTGTCCACAGAAAGATACATAATGCATGGATATCTTTACGCGTTTCGTAATGTCTTAAAACGCCACTTACAGTGCATGCGCATGTTTCAGAGTTAAAACACTCTTGTGCCAAAGGAATTGGTTTCACTATGGGTACATTGCGGGCGAAACATCAAACGTCTATGTTTATTCAAGTATCTTAAAATGCAAAAAAAAAAAAAAAGATGGGGGGGGGGGGGGGGGGGGGGGGGTGACGAAAGATTTCAGGCCTCCAAGCCGGGTACCGTGTGCTTGACGTGACCCATTGTCTTGAAAGCTCAGTTTTTCCCCACTTGGTCAACTGGGCCACGCGCTGCATGCATTAATCTAAACAGGGCCGTTGATACATCTGAATTTGCATCTGTTCCAGTCTTGGCTGGCCAGATTTGCGGTCGGCTCGCCGAGATTATCTCAAATGTAAGCTAGTCTTCAAAGCCACGAACGGCCTAGCACCACCTTACCTCTTAACGGAATTTCGACAAGCCAGTGAATTTCACCATTATTATACTAGGCACCCCGACTTGACTTCTTCTGCCCCTCGTTAAGACTACTAAGTAGCAAGGGGGCTTTAGATATAACGAACGGCCTAGCACCACCTTACCTCTTAACGGAATCTCGACAAGCCAATGAATTTCACCATTATAAAACTAGGCACCACGACTTACTTCTTCTGCCCCTCGTTAAGACTACTAAGTACCAAGGGGGCTTTAACTATAACGGGGCGCGTACTTTTGATACTTTACCCCTTGATATTAGATCATTCAAAGAGCCTAAAAGTTTTATAAACGAATGCAAACGTCATTTGAAGCGCTTAACGACCTACAAAGCGTCATGCTCATTTCTTATATATTGTGTTTCCTTATCTGTATTATTAGTAATTAGAGTTTATGAATTTTATTTTCACAGGGCTTTCGCTAAAATAGCTCTGCTAAATGAGACATCCATGTATAAATAGTGGCTTCGGGCTAGAACATTATTCTGCGTAAATCCATTTATACATTAAGTGCGCATTGGCTTAGCTGCAGTAAGGCCCGAAGTCCATGCAACGCCTCAGCTTCTGCGCATAATGGCACAGTATAGTTAATAGACATTAATATATTTTAAAATATCATATCCAATTGTGTATCCTAGTTTCCTTGGATCATGTAATAGTATGTTTTCCGTAGGTGCTGGTCGTACGTTGGTCGTCAAGGTGGCATGCAGCTAATGTCTCTCAAATCAGGCTGTTGGCACTTAGGAACTGTTGCCCATGAGATTGGTAATAACATCTTCCGTCAGTTCCGTTGGCTATGATCAAATTTTTTTAAACTCTCTTCTGGCTTTTTTTAGGCCACGCAATGGGATTCTGGCACGAACAGAGTCGTCCGGACCGAGACAACTTTGTGAAAATCGTCTGGGACAATATTCCTGAACGTAAGTAAAATTCAATATTCCTGAGTCTAAAACTAGTTGCGTTCATCTGTACACGATCATGATCAAAACAATAGTATCATCTCCCTCACCTGTCCCTTCTCATCCAAGTCTCATCCTCGACTAATGTTTATTCATGCTCCACTCAACTTGTTATATATTCCTACCATCCTCACATGACATGTGAAATATATTCGTAAAGAATCGCGCGAGCTCCCACACTATCCTATGCTCTACTCTACTGATTATATATATTCCTACCAACCTCACATGACTTGAAAGCAAAGATTCCGGACTGAGGTGTTCTTTATTTTTAAGCGAGAAGACATAACTTCAACAAGTACAACCGCACACAAGTAGATTCTCTTGGTGTACGGTACGACTATTTGGCTATCATGCATTACTCCAAAACCGCCTTCTCCTCCAATGGGCAACCAACTATCATTCCGTTAGATCCAAATGCTATCCAGCTTGGTCAACGTGTTGGGTTGAGCCCACTGGATGTCAAGCAAGCGGACTTGCTCTACAAGTGTAATGGTATGTGCTACAGTGTTTATACATAACTTTTATTGAGCATTGTCACGAGGTCGACACAAAGTGCAAACCCAACATGACTACCATGTCTTATGTGATTATTTCCTTTAATTACAGCAATCTACCATTTATTGCATCGCGTTTTACTGAGAACTGAATTCAGTGATTGCATTCATTTTTTTTAACGCCGACATTTTCTTTTAACTACAGGACAAACAACAAGACCACTGACTCCCATCAAACCCAACCCACCTCCTCCAGGTATTGAACCTATATAATTCCTAGAATAGACTCCTTGCATGAGCAGCTCAATTTGGAGTAAAGAATTCCAAAAGAATTCAAAAATAATTTCAATCTCCTGAGAATTGGAAACATATTGTAATATCCTGCAAATTGGGCTGCATTCTGATCCGGCCCCTTTCTTGCCTTGGCGGTATCAAAATTGGGGTATTCGTCTTGTGCAACAAATATAATGCATAGAGCTATGATGAAACTTAGTACATAAGATTTCATATTGAACATTTTAGGACCAGACACCTGTACATTCGACATCATGGGCGATCTGTGTGGGTTTGTTAACATCGATGGAGATCAATTCGATTGGACTCAATTACTAGGGAAGACACCAAGTGGTAAAACTGGACCAGCAGCTGATCACACTACTGGAAGATGGGGTAACAACACTAGTTAACGTTCGCTCCTAAAACAACTACACGATCATTTGATGTTTAGTCATCTTGACAAAAAGCCTGAAGGCTAGACCTTCGTTACTGATTTTTTTCAGGTTGGTTTTTGTACATCGAAGCCTCTATTCCCCGTAAAGAAGGCGACACAGCCATCTTACGCAGCAAGGCATACGCCTCAACAACGGAGCGCTGTCTACATTTTTACTATCACATGTATGGTAAAAATATTGGCTCTCTGTCGGTAACACACTCGCTCATTTCTGACCCAGCCAATGAACAGGAACTGTGGAAGATGTTGGGAAATCAAGGTAATGCTTGGATTAGAGCTGACGTTCAACTTCCTGCAACAAGCTCTCCTTATACGGTAAGAAACGCTCTAGTTGAACGCATTGCTTTCTTCACTCCCTTTGCCCTTCTATTTACTTTATCTTCTCATTTTAGTCAAACATTTCCAAATGATTTGATTATTGCGATTTATTTTCATTTTTTTAAAATCTAATGACAATGACCTTATTATTGCATGCCCTTTGCGATTCAGACTTCTAATACATTGATATTTTCTATTTGAATGCAGATATCATTTGTTGGTGTCAGAGGCAATGGATACATGGGAGACATTGCTATTGACGATATCTATTTCACTGATGGTAGATGCTGACCACCGCCGCCTGATTCACAAGCTTTTGGCTTCATAATGTGTGATTACTTGAATAAAAATTACATTTGAAGCAGTCAAACTAATTCAAAGAGAAAATCGTTTGAAACCCAATTAAAAGAATGTCTGCTGTCATCGATTTTTCAATTTACATATTCTCCTCGAAACCCTTTAGATCAAGTGGTTTCATGACGCCTATAGACAAAATAGGGACGACACCAAAACCCAAGGGAAAAAACTAAACAGGTCAAAGAATAAAACAAACCACATTATTAAACAAACAAACAAACATTCGTAGCCCGCCTTCTCCCTCTCGGATATTTCAACAACTAGCTTGATGACAAACGTATCACTACTTCTCTATTCCAAAGTTTGTATATATATATATATATTTTTGCTATTTAAAAAAAAAAAAGGTTGGCAGTGTTTTTTCCTCCCCTAGTATCCGAGGAGTCTAGGTTGGGCGAGGGAGAGCGTGGGGGCTTTGGGGAGGGAATTCCTGTTTTATCATATGTGGAGTCACTGTTAAATTGTAGGGATCTCTTGGTAAAAGACACGAACACTTGTAACAGGCTCAGTTGAAGTGACACCTCAATCGTGACATAAACTGTGAAGCATTCCGCGGGTCCATACAACTGTCCTTACAATATTGTGGCGCTAAAATAAAGCGAAAAATATTCACAATGATTTACTAGTAACCCTCACTTGAAAAAGTTAGAAATTTTGACAACGTTAACAAATCCTCTCACAAAGAAAAAGAAAAAAGACAAAAAAAAAGTATTTACAAGAGAATATGAAAGAACTTAGTTCATATTATCTTGGTATTTAGCTATAGAACCGCTCCTTTTTGTTTTGGACCCGGAAGTCGTTCTTCCATACTATGGTTTCGTTAGTAAATATGAGGCATTGCTATTGTGTAATATACAGCAGGTCATTCTCCTCTACCACCCTGCAAAATACTTAAAGACGTACCGGCGCTCACGTAGATTCCCTTTATAGATAGACAATGTTATTTGTCTTGAGTACTGTGTGTGTACTTTTTTCGACCACTGATGGTATAACCAATAACAAGAGAATATTCTCTTTCTAATAACTATTGTTCTGGACTGAATTTTACCCCTCGGTTACCGAGGATGACCAGCCTCGTTTTCACTAGGAAACATAAAATAGCATGAATCATTTTCACATGTACGAGAGGCTAGTCAGTCCAGAAAAATACTTATTCAAATTGGACTTCCCATATTTATTAGTACACTTTTTCTTGTGTCTCGCCACAGGTAGTCCAAGCTTGGTTTCTGTGGTGTCATGTTATGAAAAAAAGTATGGGGATTCTTCAAAAATTTTAATAAAATCATCGAAACGTGAAATAAAGCCTAGAAATTTTACCTGATTATTGAGAATAGCACTTAGTCTCTTTAGCTCTGTGAGGTTATGTTTTAAAAACGGGCTAAATTCAAAAATAACCACACAGAGCGAAGCGAAAGAAGTGCTATTTCTCAATAATCAGGTAAAATTTCGAGGCTTTATTTCACGTTTCAATGATTTTATTGAAATTTTTGCAGAATCTCCATACATTTCCTTATAACAGGACACTACAGAAACCAAGTTTGGGCTACCTGTGGTCTGGCTAACCCAATTCAATCCCGTAAGTGTTCCGTAAGTGTCCCGTAAGTGTCCCGCAAGTTCCCAGACGTAACCAGGCCTTTGTTGTCTGTATGAACCAAGATGGCCGTCAGCAAGTACAAGTTCTGTGGAAGCAAAAGGAGCAGGATGAGTCTAAACCAGGGATTCTTCTTAGCTGTTATCATGGTAACACTCAGCATTTGTGAAGGCAAACCGGTAACGAATAGCAGAGTGATTATTACAGATATTAAAAGTATGATTAAAAACAAAGAATTACTGCCTCCAGACCATCTTGAAGGAGCCAAACTGGAACGAGATGGAGACATCAACAAGGACTACCATCACGAGGCTTTTCTTGGTAAACTAATAAAAGACGGCGAACTAGTGTTTGAAAACATGCTGGGATACAAAAAGCTCATTGAAATATTCCACAAGGTTGATTATGACCGGGATCATCTCATCGATAAAGATGAATTAACCCGATGGATACACGAAAGAATTCTAGAGCACGTAGAAAGTGCTCGACAGAAAAACGAAGGTTTGTTCAAGTCCATTGATAAAGATGGAGATGGGCTAATTTCATGGAAGGAATACCGATACAAGCTTCTACAAGGAGATAGTAATGTTACAGTTAGTTCTGAGGCTCTACAAAATCAAGGTGTGTTCAACTTTTCATTGCTTGTACATGTTATTTGGTAACATTCTATACATAAACCAATCAAGCTAAAAGAAGTTACACTGGCTTAAAAGCACGGTAGAGCCTGGCTAAATATTTTTTAATACATTGGAAGTCTTTTATATGGCTAACATAACGTTTACAGTATGTGGCTATTATAATTTTATAATAATTGTATGACTTATTGCAGAAGAGGATGGTGGTTTACAAGAAGCACATGAAAAGTGGAAGAAAGCAGACCTCAACTTGGACAAGAAGCTAGATGTCACTGAGTTCCTTTACTTTCAGCATCCTGAATACAATCCTGTTACTGTGCAGAATATGGCTAATGACATGTTGGTCAATTTTGACAAAAACAATGACAAGGTAAATGTTAACTTATTGATAATTCATAGAGGTGGGCCATACTAGCATTAGGTGGATAGATGGCCTTGGAAACCTGATCCAATATGTTGCACAGGTTTGAATGTGGTACATAACAACCAACACATAAAAGAGTAGAAATCCGATCCTCTTATGTGTTTTCAAGCATATTTCTCAGAAATGTTTTTTGAATATTTGCATGGACCTGCAACCTCCTGAGTACCAAAAAGAATGATAAAATAACTGTTATAAATCTTGCATTCTGATAGTTGAGAGCCATGTGCTTTATGAGAGCACACAGCACTCCCACACACTTTCAGTTGCTTCATTTCTATCCAAAATAACATTTATTGTAAGTAAATGTATTTTATAAAGCAAATAAAAACTTACTTGCTGTGCTTTGTGGAGTCATAAAGCACTTGGGAATTGGCAGAACACTGCTACTCACCATGCTTCTCTTAGCACTTCTCTCATCTGTTCTGCCAACCTCCACATGCTTTTTAACTCCACACAGCATGCTTGCTTCTTTTCTATTTCTTCAAGTTTTTTTTACCAATATTCAAGTACTGATAATTGAGGAAGGTTGTTAGAAAAAAGCACATGAAGTAGGGGTGTGAATAGAAGAAAGCTGGCTATATGCAGGGTATTTTATTTTTCACAGCTGCCTATTTCACAATCAAATGAAATATCATTAATATCAATCCAGTGCAGAACACAGCTGCCTATTTTGTCAAGAGAGCATACTAATGTGAAAAATAATTGAAATCCCCTTATCAAGGGCATTTTTTACAAACGTTGAGGTTTTTGTTTATGCATAACAGTTGTTCTAACTGCAATGAGCTTTTATTGGCTATTTTTCCTCTCAATGCAAGTGTTTTTATCTGTTATCTTTATTTTCCTCCTTATGGTGAAAGATCCCCTTCAGTCCTTGCAATTGCAATTTATTGAGTTGTGAATAATTAGAGTAAAAACCTGCATGTAAGAACCTACATTTTGTGAAGCACGGCAAAATAGGTTTTTGTATTTTGGGGTAGTTATTGACGATTTGGGCTTATTAGATTCTTAATTAGGTTCTTAAAGACAATTAGTATATGTAATAGGACTCCATGCTGTCCAATTAAGAAATAATTGGATGTGGAAAATTCCGAGGACTTCCAAAATTGGATGAGGCCATACAGTAGGCCGAGTCCAATTTGGCAATCAGAGGAATTTTTCGAGTCTGAATTTTTTTTTTGATTGGAGAGCATGAAATCCCATCACCTATTAATTATATAGCTACCTAAATTAATCCATATCAAAAAGACCTGTCCAATTAACAAAATAATTGGACAGTTACCTATATATAGGATTAATGAGAAGCTGTATAATTAGCATCTTAATTAGGTCAATGAAGACAATTACAGTCTGTACTTTATATAAACCTGTTTTTGTTGTAGGAATTATTACTTTTATTTGTAATTATAGTTTGGTATTTTCTTGTAATGTAAATTTGCAACTTCAAAAGTAAAACTTCTTGGTTAAAATGTTGATCATAGTTTAACTGTAATCCATATTTAAGAACCTGCTTGATCTTGCTTGGCTAAACAGGTTTTTCATACTTTTGGGTCACTGTTAAAATGGCAAATTCTGCCAGCAGGTTCTTAAACCACTAGATTCTTACACACAGGTTTTTATTGTAGTTAACAATCAAGGTTGCTTCATGTTTTGTATAGTCCTTTGCTTGTGGACTTGCTTGTTTTTTCATATGGAAACTCGTGAATAAAAACCATATCAGGCTCTTAACATGTGATAATCTCTATGTATGTGTTTGTTGAATATCAGGTCATGACAGTAGATGAGTTTGTGAATATTCCTCCTGGTGATGTTGATCCAGATCAAGTTGAAATGGAAAAACAATATGCAGAAGAGTAAGTATTGTATTCCTGCATGCATCTCTTTCTAATGTGACCAGTAGAGTTTTATCTCACCTAAGGCCTGTCATTCATTATTTCCTAATAAAACATGATGAGATGTGTCTGTAGTTTATAGTGGAGTTTTGCAGACACACGAAAAGTATTCTGATATTTTAGCTTTTTAACTTAATATTAGCTTTTTAATTGAAATAGTTTTTTAAATAATATTTAATGTTGTTATTCTAAGTCAACCATCCTTCACCATAAGGGGCTCTGTTTCATAAGATTTGCTCCACATGCACTCACCTTTCATTACTGTATCTATTATTTTCAACACACAACACTCAACTCACGTGTTTTTTTTACGGAGGGTGGAAAACCAGAGAACTGGGAAGAAAACTGGTGCGAGATCTTAAATGGACAATCTGAGACTAAACGGAATTTTTGTGCTTTTATGTTTTCTGGATACCTTATTGCATGAAATTCGCGACATGTTAATTTCACGATTTTGAGGAAAAACGCTATTTAACACGCACTTTAATTTGGCATGTTGTAAAACCTGGACTGGATTGGACTGATAAAACCTGTACTGATAAAACCTGTGCTGATAAAACCTGTACTGATAAAGCCAGGACTGATAAAACCTGTACTGATAAAACCTGTACTGATAAAACCTGGACTGACAAAACCTGGGCTGACAAAACCAGGACTGACAAAACCAGGACTGACAAAACCTGGACTGACAAAACCAGGACTGATAAAACCTGGGCAGACAAAACCAGGACTGACAAAACCAGGACTGATAAAACCTGGACTGATAAAACCAGGACTGATAAAACCTGGACTGATAAAACCAGGACTGATAAAACCTGGACTGATAAAATCTGTACTGATAAAACCAGGACTGACAAAACCAGGACTGATAAAACCTGGACTGATAAAACCAGGACTGATAAAACCAGGACTGATAAAACCTGGACTCACAAAACCAGGACTCACAAAACCAGGACTCACAATACCAGGACTGATAAAACCAGGACTGACAAAACCAGGACTGATAAAACCAGGACTGACAAAACCAGGACTGACAAAACCAGGACTGATAAAATCAGTACTGATAAAAACAGGACTGATAAAACCTGGACTGATAAAACCAGGACTGACAAAACCTGGACTGATAAAGATTGGACTGATAAAACCTGGACTGATAAAACCTGGACTGATAAAACC